AAATGTGGACTTTTTGGAATCCTTGTGAAATTCTATATGCATTAGATCTATAATATGGCATGTTTTAGTTTCAATATTGTGCGGTAAAAATAGATTTGGGCAGTAAGGTTGTAATGCTAGTTGAATTTGTTATTTTCCATAACTGCAGATCTAGGGCTCCAAATGAAGTGAAATTTTTGTGGCATGCTACTCATGTGATAGTTGATCTGTGGTAAAAATTTCATGAGTATTGGATGAAGTATGAGTGAGTTATTGGTTTATCTTGCTCTCACATGATTTCTTGCTTTAGCAACTTGTGTTTTTCATAGAGGTTGCTATACATATTCAAATGGAGTGAAATTTGTACAGTAGACTATTGAGAGGATATGTGAGCCACTGTAATTTTTGTAGAATTTATTGTATACTTTTGGTATATGTTCATTAAGTCACCTTGTTATCTAAAATAAATTAAGAAATGCATTAAAAGAATTTATTTGGTCATGGACACTAGTTTTTCTGGTGTTCTTTAGTCATGTGTGACATGTTGGTAAAGTTGGTTTTGCCTAATTATGTGTTTGCAACATAAGTTAATATTTATTTTCTTGCAAATATGGTTTCTGGACAGATCTAGGAACTTAGCAAAGTTCTTCATGATAATGTGCTTTGTTGTGAAACTTGTTTATATAAAAGTTGTAGATAATTCATGTATCTAGCTTCTGTTAAAATTTGGTGTCATTTGGCCAAGTAGTTTGTGAGTTATGCCTGTTTAAAGTTGGGTTTCAGAAATGGCTGTTCTCTGTCAATTGTGGACCAGTTTCTGTAAATGTATAATTTCGACCTACTTAACTTGTGAATCATGCTATGATGGTTACAGATGAAATGTAGATAATTTCATAAGATTTCCAAAATGTCTTCTTGCAAGTCATTTGGAATTGTGTAACTCCAGTTATAGCTAAATCTTGTAGCTGCTGTTTGCATTCAGAAATTGGCAGATTCCAATTATAGTTGTTTGCTTGTATATTGCTAAGTGTGGCTCATACCTTTGATGATGGTTGAGTTAGAGTACCTGAGATCTTGGGAAACTTGTGTCATGCTTGGTGTTGTCGTCTTCTTTGCCATCTTAGCATGATAGATTGTGTGATGTTTAAGTTAAGCATCGCAAAGTACTTAAGTGTGTTAGTGTAAACTATGCTTGCCTTGCTTGCTATTTTGTGATGCGTCTCATGGTACTATTCTTCATATTTATGCACTTGTATATTGCATCTCATCTAGGTATGCTAGATGCACCACGTGAAGGATGCGATGATGGAGTCAAACCCGAAGACAGCGTTTGATGGACCTATCCCGAAGATGGAAGGACTAAGCAAGTGCCAGGACCGAAGGTGTCACCAAGACGGTGCAAGCTAACTGAACTGACTTGTGTCGGATTCCAGGCAAGCCCCGAGCATTATAAGCCTCCCATGTTTTTACAAATATATTGAGTATCTCTTATTGTTGATGATGCATTAAGTATAGGAATTGGTTGGAACCAATTGTTGCATTATATCCCTACCTTGTCAGATAAAATCTCTGTGAATCCTAATTAAGTGTAGGATTGAATGATGCTTAGCTATGCATAGACCGGTAGAAGTCGGGTGATTTCCACACTGCGAGATGTAGGATGAGCTCTGGTCACGGTTGGCTATATTTGCTATCATGAAAAAGAACCATGTGTTAATAATGAAAGGAGACCGGACGGGATGATGGTAGTGCAGCAACAAGGCATGGAGGTCTTGGGTGTGAATCTATCCCGTCTCAGGTGTCGTTTAAGGACCGATATCTGTTTATGACGTCCTCATGTCATGTTGAACGCAGCCTAACACTTAGCTGGCGGATAAGTCGTTTCGACCGCTGAAGTCTAGTAGCTCGACTCGGCCGGGGGACGCGAGCAGTGGCGTGCATTCTAGAGGTAGTAAGGATGTGCGGAGAGCCATTGGCATAAGTCCAAGGCGGGTTAGAGTCCCGAACAACCTTGGCAGAGTGGTTCTCTGAGAATGTCGATCTGTTCGGACTCACGACTCTGAATCGTACAAAGGTGACTCGTTTGCGACCACGGACGGGGAAGCGGGGTTTGTGTTTAGGAATACCCCTCCAATTTGGATAGGAATCGATTGAATCGCCGTCTCTCCCGAGATAGTGAAAACTTGGTGAAAGCGACAGCGTAGATTCACTAAATTTAAAGATATGGTTAAATGATGATGATGATGACAATGAGCTATGAAATATCTGATATGGTTATTATTGTTTGCAACTTAATCAAGTGATTGATTAGTATAGGTGCTAATATAGATGGTAGGTAATGGCTAAAAGTCACTGCTAGTACAGGTGAATAATGCTAATGGTTACCCAAGCTTTTATGCAAAAAGGTTGTCCAGCCAGATCCACTAAATTAAGCTATGCATGATCCTTGGTGTCATTTGTTTTGGTTTCCGACGGGTAAGTCTGGCTGAGTACATTCGAGTACTCAGGGTTTATCCCACCTTGTTGCAGGTGAAGTTCTCGACCTGTTGATGATGGTGGCTAACCGCCGGTGGGCTCGATGATTCTATACTTACTTCTCATCTATATGCTTTTGTCTGAGGATGCCACTTATGCTAGCATTATATTTGGAACTTATATTAATGTAATCATTTGAAAGCTATGTTGTTTCCACTAAACGGTTTTGAAACCCAAGTTTGTATTATTATTTGTGAACCCATTTATAATATTATTTCCGCTGCAACCCTGTGTATGTGATGTGTATTTGTTTAATCCCGCGATCTTGGTTGTGATGTTGATTTACCGAGGTCTTTCGGGACACTCGGCGGACTACCGGGTTTATATAAGTGAAAGTATGCGCATGTCAACGTGTTAGCGGAGACAACCGTACTTGATCTTGTATAAATTGGACGGTTCTGTTACACAACTCAATCACCAGCTGCCCCCTATAAATAGAAATGCCGGGGACGGCCGGTGAGTGAGCCGCCCCTACAAATCAGACCCATTTGTAGGGGAGGCTCGTATCACCAGTTGCCCCTGCTGTTCCATTTGTAGGTGTGGCTGGTGTCTGGGCTCCCGAGCACGCCACTATAGGGGCGGCTCCATCACCAGCCGCCTCTACAAAAAATTCATCCCGTTGCTAAAAATCATTTTTTACGTAGTGTTGGGGCAGGGTCTTGGGGCATGCCAAGGCCATTGCTGACGAAGAAGGCGAGGTCGTGGAGCGCGCGAAGGTGGGCCATGAGACACAGCGAGCGCGGAGGGATCGCCGAGCCCCTGGGACCAGGACACGTAGCAGTCGCCATGGGTGGTCCGGGCGTCCGTGTCGCTGCGGGAGAAGCCGGCATAGAGCAACGAATTCCTGCTCCTCAGCTTCAGTGTGATTAGTATTGGTGGAAGCTCTGTGCGGATGTTTGCAGCAAACAGGCAACTTGTATTGGATGGATTTGAATTTAGATGGAGTTGGATTGGATATCTCCACTAATTATTTGGATTGGACTGGATAGGAGCACGATTTGAATTGGACGCTGATTGGATGCCTCTAAATCTCTAATTGGTTTTAGATGTCCGTCCATTCACAGGTCTATGTGGTGCACACATCAGTGACATTTGTAGGTGAATGTGTAGTGTCCATTCACATGTCTATATGTGGTGCACACATCAGTGACACTTGTAGGTGAATGTGTAGTGCATTCATGCTAGTTGAGTCGTGAATTTGCCTTGTAGTTTTGTACTATAAATATTGAGAACACAAGGCAAAGAAAAATCAGTATGTAGGCATGTAGCTTCTATGTAAATGGGTGTGACTGTGTTCATCCTCCATAATTGTCTTGAGAACGAACTATACTGAAAAGGCTTCATGAGTGCGAGTTTCCATAAGTTGTGTGCGCTGGGCACTGAGCGTGACAGAGATTCAGCTTCAACAAGGAATGTTCACCTTTCTGATTGTTGATGATGCTGAACTTTCTAAAGTTTTAGCATATGCTTTATTGTTTTTCTGCTTGTACTATCTTTACATGCTATTTGAATTTTAGAGTCTTTTTTTCTGCTTGTAATTGTTAGAAACGATAGGCAATATAAACGACGAAGAACAATAGATCAAGCACAGGGGACATGAGATTTTAACGTGGAAAACCCTCCCAAGGTGGAAGGGAAAAAAACCACGGGCACCAGCTAGCAAATCTTCACTATATCGGATGAGGTTACAAACGTCGGAGATTTACAACTTGGGGATACCTTAACTTGGGGGCCTTCCCGTATATAAATCTATGATACATCTTTTCCATGAGAGAGGTGGTCCGTATATATAGAGAGGAAAAACCCCACACCCTCGTCTATTAGCAATACAGAACTAATAGATGGTGTAGTCCCCCTTAACGCTAATGGGCCGCTTCGCTTCGGACCAAGCTTGAATTTGGATCATAGCTCAACAAACTCCACCTTGAGACAAATTCCTTCTTATAACATAAAATGAACCTTCACCCTGAAACAACAAAGAAATACTTTTGATGACAAATAGCCTCTTGGGCTAAACAGTTATACCAACTAAGCTTGAGCAAAACTCAAACTTAGCAATAGGAACTGACTTTGTCAACATATCAGCAGGATTATCATATGTGCTTATCTTGCATACCTTCAGCTTACCTTGCACGACCACATCACGAACATAATGGTATTTGACATCAATGTGCTTCGTTCTCTCATGGAACATCTAATATTTAGTGAGACATATAGCACTTTGACTGTTACAAAATAAATTAATGCAGGAATCATCTCCACAAAACTCAACAAATAAACCTTTCAACCAAATTGATTCTTTACATGCTTCAGCAATAGCCATGTATTCTGCTTCAGTGGTAGACAGGGCAACAACGGGCTGCAATGTTGCCCTCCAACTCATAGCACAACCACCAATAGTGAACGCATAACCTGTGAGAGATCTCCTCTTATCCAAATCAGCAACAAAATCTGAATCCACGTAGCCAGTGAGTCCCTTATCAGTCCTACCAAACTTCAAACAAGCAATTTGTTGTACTACGAAGGTACCTAAAAGTCCACTGAACAGTCTTCCAATGTTCTTTACCAGGATTAGCCATGTATCTACTAACCAAACCCTAAACATATGATAAATCAGGACAAGAGCAAACCATGGCATACATCAAAGAACCAACAACACTAGAATATAAAACTCTTGACATGTACTCAAAATCCTCATCCGTATTAGCACATTGTAAAGCTGATAATTTGAAATGAGGAGCAATAGGAGTACTAACAGACTTTGCATCATGCATGTTGAAACGATGAAGAACTTTTTTAATGTAACTTTGCTGACTAAAAAATAACAAACCAGAATTTCTGTCTCTTGTAATTTCCATACCTAGAATCTTCTTAGCAGCACCAAGATTCTTCATCTCAAACTCACTACTCAATAGTTTCTTCAACGTAGTGATTTCTTTCTTGCTCTTGGCGGCAATCAACATATCATCAACATATAACAGCAAATATATAGGTGATCCATCAACAAATTTAATGTACACACAGCTATCAAATTCAGACATCTTAAAATCATGCGACATCATAAAAGAATCAAACCTTTTATAACATTGATGAGAAGACTATTTCAAACCATATAAGGACCTGTTTAATTTGCAAACATGATCCTCCTTACCATGTACTATGAACCATTTCTGGCTGGTCCATGTATATCTCCTCCTCGAGCTCTCCATATAGAAACGCAATCTTTACATCTAACTGCTCAAGCTCAAGATCTCGCATAGCAACAATACCGAAAAATGTAATAATTGAACTATGCTTTACAACTAGAGAGAACACATCATTATAATCAACGCTAAGAATCTGACTGAAACCTTTTGCTACTAACATTGCCTTAAATCTTGGAGGCTCACTAGGAGACAAACCCTCCTTTCTTTTGAAAATCCATTTGCAACGAACGGTCTTCTTGTGTTTAGGCAAGCGCACAACATCCCATGTGTCATTTTTCTCAAGTGAATGCATCTCTTCTTGCATAGCGGAAATCCACTTCTCGCGGTCACCAGAAACAACAGCTTCAGTGTACGTAGCCGACTCATGAATGTTCTCAACCTGTTCAGCACAACTAAAGGCATAATGAACAATATCACATTCCTCAATTAAACGTGGACGAGGTCCACAACTCCTCTTTGTTTTGCGATCTGCAATAGACTGATTTTGTGGTTGCAAAACAGGAGGTGAGTACTGAACAATATCATGAACATTGTTATCAACAATTTTAGTTTCCTGATCATCTACGTGCTCCACCTGCACGCTAACATGTTCCTGCTCCTCATCAGAACCAACTGGTGAAACATCTGTGGACAAGCTATCATTAAACATAACAGATTCATTGAAAACAATGTTCCTGCTCATGAAAGTCTTTTTAGTTTTAGGATTCCATAACTTATATCCTTTAACTCCAGAACCATAACCAAGAAACAGACACTTAATGGCTCTAGGTTCTAGCTTTCCATTATCAATATGAGCATAAGCAGTGCAACCGAAAACTCTCAACTTTGAATAATCAGCAGGTATATCAGACCATACCTCAATGGGAGTTTTCTTATTAAGTGGGATAGAAGGTGACCGATTGATCAAGTAACAGGCGGTGTTAACAGCCTCAGCCCAAAAACGCCTATTCATACGAGCATTGGACAACATGCAACGAGCCCTCGAGATGATGGTTCGGTTCATGCGCTCAGCCACACCATTCTGCTGAGGAGTGTACGAGATGGTGTGGTGCCTGACAATGCCTTCTTCCCTGCAGTAATCATTAAAAGCATCCAAACATAATTCACCGCCATTGTCAGTACAAAGCAATTTTACCTTCTTTTTAGTTTGTCTTTCTATCATAACTTTCCACTCTTTAAAGGTAGCAAAAGTATCAACTTTATTTTTCAGAAAGTAAGGTCACACTTTTCTAGAGTAATCATCAATAATGGTAAGCATATAACGAGCACCACCATAAGAGGGCTTACGAGATGGCCCCCACAAATCAGCATGTACATAATCAAGTGTACCTTTGGTGGTATGAACAGATGCATTGAATTTTACCCTCTTGTGCTTACCAAAAACACAGTGCTCATAGAACTTCATCTTACCCATAGTGCAGCCATCCAGCAGGTCTCTCTTGATCAATTCTGCCATACCAAGTTCACTCATATGCCCAAGACGCATATGCCAGAGATTAGTTTTACTTGGTTCATCATTAGAAACAGTAGCAGCAGTGACGGAACCATGTAAAGTACTTCCTCTAAGAACATATAACTTTGCAGAATTCATATCACCTATCATATGAATGAGAGAGCCTTTTGATACCTTACACACTCCACCTGAACCAAAGTGTCTGTACCCCTTAGCATCAAGTGTGCAGAGGAAGATGAGATTTCTGGCCATCCCTTGTATGTGTCTCACATCTTTCAGTGTGCGTATCATGCCATCATGCATCTTGATCTGAATGGAGCCAATGCCCACGATCTCATGTGGGTTGTTATCTCCCATTCGCACGACATCTCCACTCTGCACAGACTTGTAAGAACTGAACCAATCTTTGTTAGAGCATATATGAAACGAGCATGCAGAATCAAGTATCCATTCATCACGACTAGCAACACAACCAGCAAAAACAATCAAAACATCTCCTGAATCAGAATTATCAACAGCGGAGACAATAGAGGCCTTACCATCACCATCGGATTTATTTTTTGGTTTATACGTACCGTTTCTTTTCTCCTTATTCTGCAACTTCCAACAATCCTCAATGACATGAGTATCTTTCTTACAATATCTACAGAACTTATCTCTGCCTCTGGACTTTGAACGACCTTTACCGTTCTTGCTCTTGTCTCGATTATTGTTGTTGTTGTAGGTTTTCTGCTCGGGCCTGCCTCTAACCTGCAACACTTCACCCTTGGAGGACGACACATTAGACTGAACCATACCTTTCATCTTCTCCCTTGTCTGGAGGGCCTCATATACTTCCGCGAGGGTAAGTTCATCATGGCTTAATAGTATGGTATCTCGGAAATTTGCAAACGAAGTAGGCAGTGAGCATAACAGTAGAAGAGCTAAATCTTCATCATCATATTTTACCTCCATTGACACTAGGTCGGCAACGATCTCCTTAAAGATCGATAAGTGGTTCATCACCGAACCACCTTCTTGCAGCTTGTGCGTGAACAACTTCATCTTCATGTGCATTTTACTGGTTAGATCCTTAGACATGCAGATCGATTCCAGGTTGAGCCAAAGTTCTGCGACAGTTTTCTCCTGCAGCACTTCTTGCAAAATATCATTATGTAGATGAAGTTGAATTAGAGACAGAGCCTTACGATCCTTCCGCTTCTCTTCAGCGGTCCATGACTTCTGCCCTTTTCCTCCGAAACCGTCCAGCGCCTCATCAAGATCTGAAGATTGTGCCAGAATCGCCCGCATCTTGACTTGGCACAGTGCAAATCTCGTTTTTTAATCCAGCAGCGGTATATCAAACTTCATCGATGCCATCGTGAAACCCTAAGGTCAAACCAAGCTCTGGTACCACTTGTTAGAAATGATAGGCAATATAAACGACGAAGAACAGTAAATCAACCACAGGGGACACGAGATTTTAACGCGGAAAACCCTCCCAAGGTGGAAGGGAAAAAAACCACGGGCACCAGCCATCAAATCTTCACTATATCGGGTGAGGTTACAAACGTCGGAGATTTACAACTTGGGGTACCCTAACCTGGGGGCCTTCCCATATAGAAGTCTATGATACATCTTTTCCATGAGGGAGGTGGTCCGTATATATAGGGAGGAAAAACCCCACACCCTCATCTATTAGCAATACGGAACTAATAGATGGTGTAGTCCCTCTTAACGCTAATGGGCCGCTTCGTTTCGGCCCAAGCTTGAATTTGGATCATAGCTCAACAGTACTATCTATACATTTTGTTATCCGTTAGCCTTCAACTGCAGTTCACTCCAACTGCAGTTGATACTAGTGCAGCCAAACTCCGCATCAATAATAAGGCATCGGATTTAACATTGAAAACCCTCAAATAGGGGTAAAGGGTAAAAACCACTTGCCAATCTTTACCAAGAGCCAATCTTCTTCCACTATTTGTTTGTGGGATTACATCAAGTTCATCATTAGATATTATTAGAGGTAACCATACATCAAGCTTCTACGGATCTTGGACAGCGACAATAAGGTCTGGGGGCTGCTACTTAGGGTGAAGAAAGACCTCACTAAATGATGGTGGAACTCAAGTTAGAGGCACCAAGGTTGTAGATCTGAACTTTACAACCTTGATGACAAACCCTTCTTGATCTATTACAAGATCACCTCTCTAATCTCCCTCTTCTCTCTCTGAGGCTCTCTCTAGTGCTCACGAAGGGGTTGAACTGAGCTATCTATATTGTGTTGTGTAGATGCTCATGAAGCTTTCCATTCCTTCTCTTGTAAGACAAGATGTAAAATACTAGATGGACACTAGTTTGGTCCACTTCCTTGAGCTGCAGCTATGACATGTGGGGCTACTCTCTAAGAGCAATTACTCTCCCTGTGGCCCACTTATGAGGAGGATTTGCCAAAACCCCCTATATATGGTTGTGTTTGATTCCACCCTGGGAGCACATCCAGGCTAGGCATCAACGTGATTGATTAGATGTAATAGTTAAAAAGGAGACCTTGTCCTTAAGTCACTCCCTACACGAGTGGCTCGGGCGACACTTCGTCCCGAGCCGCCGCCACCCTCTTCGCCCCCCTTCTCGTCACCTCACCGTTGCCGGAGGGAGCTGGTGCCGCTCCCTAGGAAGGTGGTGACGAGGGCTTAGTTTCTAGATGTGTGGGGTTTTTTTTTCTTTGTTCGGTCTATAGAGACGAGTGTGCATCTAGTCTTTGTCACTACCCATTAACCGAGACCACTTCTTGAAGGCATTTTGACCTGCCTCTGAAAATTGTTATGTTTTGACTATCTCTAAACAGTTGATTCTAGTACTGGTTTTGTATAGTTGCCTATTTCAATCCTCCAGAACGTTTGTCAACTGTCATGTACCTGCATTGATACTACCATTTTTTTTTCATCTTTGTTTATAGATAAATAAATAGACCCAAAAACTGATAATGATGTGAAACTCTCGTCAATGCTGGAAGGGTACTAGTATGTTAGACAATAGCAAAACTTTTGCTCAGTCTTCAGTCCTAGTTGGAGAAGTTGAAGTGTAATTACAATGCATATTGTTGTGCCTAAGCTCCAGAGACAAATATATACTACTAGCTTTTGTTTACTCAAAAGTCAGAAGTGAAACTGTTTAGAAATTCCTTTTACAAAAATTGCAATATAGATCTTGGGCTGACATTTTGCATTATGTCGCAGACAAAAATTAGATGATGGATGAGCTGGCTCAGTGTGTTACTATTTTGTTTAATCCATTTCTGTTACCTATATCATATCTGTTGTTGTCACTAGCTGGTGCTTAGTGCTTATGCTGTTAGTGCTTCTATTCTTCCTTGCTTCAGTGGTATCTTCTTAATTACAGCCAACTATGATTCTATTCTTAATTAATTATGATGTCCGAGGCCTGTTATTATGAACAACACTAATTGTATGCTGACAGCTCATTTGTATGATTAATTAATTACTCTGTCTGAGGCCTGTTAGCTTGATTCCTTTCTGTGTTCTATTCATGTGTTCTCCTTCCCTGGTTCAGGCTCTGCACCTGGCCGAGAATCAAACATGATATTCATGTGGCACTTGGAGTTAGTTGGTCATGGCTGTGCTGGCATGTGTGATATCAAACACACTCTCATCTGGGCCTGGTCCGTTTGGTACAGGCAACCAAATAATACACCTTGCACCAATTCGGACCGGCTCTGGCTGGCCTGGGCTAGGTCTGTGGGCCGAGCTGGCTTCAGGCCGGATATGAAACACACCCTTACTGTCTAGGTGACCTATTTTTGTGATAGAAAATTGAGCTTCTGCTCCTTTAGCAACGCTACGGGTAAGAGACATCTGTTTTTTTTTTGTACTGAAAATTTAAGTTATACAAATTCCTATTGCACCTAGAATTGCAGCAGCTAGAATACTATCGATTATAGCAACAGCAGCTCAATGGAAGAATGTAGGTTTGCACAGCCTCAACGGCTCTACTGACCTCCATCTCATTGCCTTCTTTCTAGTCTAAGGGCCCGTTCAGTTCCAGGAGTATTGTGGCCTAGAACCATTCCTACCCGGTTTGCTTGCATAATTTTATATAAGTTTTGATCATCTGGATTGATTCCCGGTGGAATCCAGAGTAACCGAACAGGGTCTAATTCTCATCCCAATCTAAGTTACGGTTCTGAAGACGACAATCCATAAAACAAGATGCAAATATGAGCGAGATAGATTTGATAGTAATCGTAAGAGGAAGGAATACGATGGATTGAGAGCCCTGATGAACCCTTGAAGTGTCAGATGTTGCCGTGTTGTTGGCGTCGAGTTCCATGGTGATTGGTGAGGCTCCACGGTACCACGTCGAGGCACATGGAGAGAGATGTTCTGACACTCAAATAGGATCCAAGCCAATTTAAATAAGTCCATGACAGTTTTGGCCCAATCTAAATAAAACTCCATAAAACGATATGATAATAGTACCACATTGTTTTCCTATGGGATAAGACCACCCATACTCCTTATAAAATGAGGGATATATGGCCGATTGAGTTCTCATCTATCCAATTGTCAAACAAATCAATCTACTACCTCTACTCCAATCCTTTTACCCTTTTTCTCCAACCCCATGATGTTCATCCCTCGATCCGACGACCAAGGATGGCGCCCTAGGCTTGCCGGCCGACCTAGGGCAACCCAGCGATGTCATTGCCCTGACGGGGTCCCTCTCGGGAGAGAGCTTCGACGGTTTCTTTGCTAGTTTACCTGAAAACTAGCCGATTTTTCGTCACACAAGCACGTTGGTTATCCTTTGGTGGTTTGCTTATAAACGTCTCCATTTTTCACCACGAAAGAGTGGCATCCTCGCTGCGTTCTTCGGTCCGTAGCAGCCCAGGCGTCCAAGGCCCTGCTGATGTGTGATCCGAGATCAATCCAACATCAACACACTTTTTGTCAACTCCGCTGGGGACGATTGGTTCGGCTATCTCTTATAGCCGATCTCTTTGACCTAGCCTTACTTCTTGCTAATCTATCTTCTTGAGCTCGCCGTTACTGTTGCATTTGGCCCAAAAGGTCGATAGCATCTGGTTTTGACCCCTTGTAATCTCGTTTGCTATTTTGCAACAAGTGGCGCTGCTTATTGGAAAATTCAGCAAGGCGATCAAGTTCTAAATCATGGAGTACCCAGGTGATTCATCACAAAACTACTACAATTACCCGAGGCACAACTTGCAAATGTATCCCAATAATTATTTTGTTCTATGAGCTCTTATGTTGGTATTGCTAACTGTAATGATATTATATATGTTACATTGAGTAATACTTTTGTTAATGCTCCTCATAATACACATCATGATTATGAATATTATGGTCAAGAGCCGATGTTAATTGTAAATTCTTTGAGTTTTGATTCTACTAGCAACACACAACATGCAAATTTTTATTCATCGGTTATAAGTTCACAATATGTGGTCCCACCACAAGACATGCCGATAAATGAGAGAATTGGCTATAACAATGTTAATTATTTAGCCAATTATTCTCAAAATTCAGTACCATATGCCAATACTCCTATTCATAATTCGGCTTCTATGTTACTGCCAACTCGAGCCGAATTAATAAAAACTAGATAATACCCAGCGTGTTGCCGTGGGAATTTTGTAGTGAGATTTATAGATAGTTCTTCTGGTATGGTGTATTGTAATAACCAAATGTATTTCTAGTTTTATATATCGCACTTGTCTCATGTAAAGGAACGTTAAGCATTTATTTCTTGAGAATCGACAACCAAAGAGATAGAGTAATAATCAAATAAAAAACTCCCTGAACCCCCAGAACAAAAGGTAGCAATGCGGAATCAACATTAAATTTGTTACCTTCAGTGGAGGTCATAAAAGCATAGTAACAAACAAAATGATTAGACAGCCTAGAAACAAATTCAAAAAAATTGGATCAAACAACGGCCTATTCGTATAAAACTGATATGGACCTTAAAATGGGATCCAGTATTTGTATTCGTAGGTCACCTTTGAAGCAGGCTCGGCTTTAATGGTGGAACCCGTACCAAATAAAAAACAGAACTCTTCCATCCCTGTGAAATCGTTTCTCATCCCACCGCCTCCGCCCCCGTTCCGCATCGCCGCCGTTCATTCGGACGACAGCTGACTCGAGGAAACCGACGCTGTCGCTGGCGCGAGAGCCGGCCACCATGCGGAGTTGGCTGCCACCACGCGGAGCTAGACGTCGCCTCCTTCTTCCCATCCTGGCACGCTAGATCGCCGAGCCTTGGGGGCG